CTTTTGATTCAATCATGTGGCAACTATTGTTAGTCACAAGCTCAGATCTGCTCTAATGCGCAAATATAATACTGCCAAACTACGACTGATCCACACTACACGAAGCATTCCACTCCACAGCCAACCGATCAGCTCTCCAACCAGTTCGGCCTCTAACATCATATACCAATTCAGTTGCAAATGTGGTGACACTTACATAGGCTGGACTGGTCGCCGCCTGGCTCAAAGAGTGGGTGAACACTTCCCCCTGTGGCTGACAGTTGCTCTCACCAAAACGAAATGGACCAAATACTGAACCAGAACACTGTCTCGTCCATCACTAAGCACTAATGCCGACTCGTCACTAGGTGACCCCATTAGATTAATGCAATGAAAATGTGTCTGCTCCAGATTAGGGATTTAATAGGAACGAATATAATTAAAGGGCAAAATTTCGAGAGCAACTCGTATGATTGTCTTTAATCTGTGCTAAACCATAGCTCACACAAACAAAAATAACCAAGTCTTGTCATTCTCTGTTACATCTTGTGAAAGGCACTCCGAAAAAGGTGAACTATGGCCTTATCCTCATTTTTCATCGAAAAATGATGTCGCACCTTGTTATAAGTGAATGAGTAGCAATTCTTTTGATCAGCCTACATTACTCCAAACAGCTGACACCAGATTTTCCCTTTATAATCGAATAAGGTGAATTAAAGGCAACTCGTAGATTTAAATAACGTCTTGCATCTGCTTAAAAAATATTGACCTTGTGGTTATTTGAACAATAGCATATTTTGTATGAACGGTAAAAATATGTTTAAAACAGAATTTTCGCTTAAGAAAATCGCAGTGAACTCACTGCTAAAGAAAACATAGTCCATGTGGTATTGTGCGTTTCATGCTTTAAGGATTAGGACTGCAAAGTTTAAAATTACTAGCAAGCAAGATATTTATCTATCTTAAATATAGGCTGTACTTGAATACATTCGCTTGCGGGGTATATTTTAGACAGTGAATCTCATAGCGTTCCCATAAATGGCATAAATGGAATGTTAGCCTGAAGCCAAATGTTGTGGTTAAATCAATTAAACTGAGAGGTGGATTTTCGTTTCGCTTACAGCGGAATTTGGCTTAGGGTGCAAAGCTCGTGTAAAAAGGTACTTATCCCATCTGGTGATGTTCGCTGAGCTTGGCAATTTTGTTGCAAACGTTTCGTCACCAGTCGAGCTGGCATCATCAGTGTGTAGTTTAGTGGCGTGCAATAGCGTGGAGTAGCGTAGAGGAGCCTCGGTGAAAGTGTGCTGAGTGTGGTGTTCGTACCTTTTTTATAACGCCGTGGTTGGCCGTGATACCGAGCAATCCTATTGGTTGGGACTTCGATCTGCGTTCAGCTTGGTTGATGGACAGATGACCTTTGACCTCACCTCCTTGTGTATCGTGGTATTTGTCTACTTGCTCTTGCGAGCGAGTCTGCCGTCAGTTCTGGTTGTCTAGGCACACTTTCCATCGTATTCAATCGATCAAGTTGGCGGCCGTTCATCAGTAGTTTGGCATATACTGCATCCATTTCGATGTGTCGATTGATTGAATGCGTTGTAGAGTACCAGGCTTCTAAAAACTCCCTCCCGTGTTTGGTACTTCCATGTGCTTGGATCTTTATATTCTCCAGATCCAAATGGTAAACTTTTTGATATTCATGCGCGGAAACCAATGAGTGTGGATCCACACGTTTGCAACAAAATTACCAAGCTCAGCGAACAGTTCAACAGCCATCTGAACAACCTGAGCTACCAGTCGTCAATTCTATAGCTCACCATCGGGTACTTTTTCCTACACAGCCCATTAACTGCACACTGTAATAAAGCGATCGGTTAACAACAATAAAACTGCGTCTGCTTTCGTTCAGCTCATGGAAAATAATAAATTTTATTCATGACATTCATGTTAAGCTTTTTATCGGGTTTCTTTCTGTTCACCCTAATACTCACTAATATTCGGGAATCGACAAAGCAGCTTATACGCCACCACGATTAATGGCCGTTTGCAAAGGCAATCATTGAGCCGGAGGACAGCGCCGTACTCTGCACGTTCATAACATGCATAAGACTGCAGGATGAGTCGCGTTGTTTTGCAGTTATATACCAGTCATGACGGTCCTCTGTCGTCACTCATGGCTCGGTGACATAAGTTGCTGGTACTTAAGATTTATGTCGTGGATTCCAAAGTGGCTGGATTCGGTTGTTGTGCGCTATTAACAAGTCCCACTAGACGAAACAGCCGTCTAACGCTATCCTGGATATGTGTTGGCTGTTTTCTGAGTCTAGATACGACGAATCCTCACAAAAACCCAAAAACTCCCTTCTACTCACTAATCAGGGCCAGACCGTCCTGTCGCGTCTGTCAGTAAAAAAGCCTAGTTTGTAATGCACAGCTGTGATCCAAATTTGAATGCTAAGAAGAAACGGCATTAAAGTAGTCATATTGTCAGGCATTCGAAGGATCTGATGATGGAAAATTAACCGTGCTATATCGGACTTAGTATTTCATCGCCGATGCCCGCCGACATCAGTGATTTAGGTTGCAGGCTTATGGCAGTAATGGCATAGGCTAGAATACAACGAAGTATTCTTATTGGAGGAGGCATGGCTGCCACCTTTTGAAGTGTTTATAAAGGATAGTTTCGTAAACGACAGCATCCATCACCAAATGTATTCCACGCTAAGTGCTTTCCAACAAACATATAAGTATTATGCACCTAAAGTACGGCTTACATTGAGCAGAAAAGGTCGACAAGCAGAATGGTTCAGCTAGATGAAATACTCGAGAATCAGCACCTCAAAATTAGCTCACCAATTTCTTCGAGTCTAAGCCCGACGAGTTCTGGTGAATAGTCATTGAAACTTGGTCGAGATTCTCCAGCAGGTAGTAAAAGTTGAACGTGAATGAGTAATCCAGTAATTTGTTTCAACAAGAATCTCGATAAAATGTCGGGAAAATATGTCCCTTCCTAACACATTTTTAAAAACGCTACCTAGACTAGCATATGTGCGAGTAATACTTTCATGCAAATAATCGGATCCGATCTCTATGACCCTAGGTAGAAAGTTAACAGGTTGAATGAAAAAGCATCTGGTACAAGTAAACCGATCGTTCTGTTCTTTCTGGCCGTACCATCCCTTGTCAATTGACCAAAGCACATAAACAAACTTCACCGTATACCTAACGCTCTAAAGTTAGTCTGTGCATTATCTGATGTCACACAATTTATATAAATTCTAAAATTTAACATTGGACTTGAACGGCTCCACACCCTTAGAGTTCTCCGTAGAAACGCTACACATACGTAATTTGAAGCGTACATAAACCCGATAATAAACCGAGCCTGAAGTACTGCCATGTAGATCCATGTTCTTGCTTGGTATGTAGCTAAAAGTCAAGTTAGTTATGATAACTAAATAATTCCTGGATGAAAATACAAACGAATTTGCCGATTCTGCTACTTTCAGCAAACATGGTAGTCAACAAACCGTTGGTAGTTCACAAATCCGCTGAGTTCTTGCTAGAAATTTAAAAACATTTATACGACTTGCTTGAGTCTAAGAGGGAAACAGTTAAATTTTAGTGCTGGCATGCCCATACCAACCCGACTACGCCAATTTGTTTGTGGCGACCAAGGCAAATGGTTCGCACCACCTAAATTTTGTTAGCAATTATACCCATGGTTCGACCAATGCAATTAAGTTTAAAAATACGTATTTACGTTGTGGACACATAAAAGACATCCTGCACTTACATGTTGACTCAGCCTCTCTGCAACAAAATGTTATGTACATTTTGTGATTGTCAACGAGTTTATTCCTAATTTTGCATCATTTTCGTTTCCATCAGCAAGGCTTTTGTGAAAGGCCGTGTATCCTCATGCCTACAAGCAAGAACAACTTCAGCGAACTTAGTTCATAGGTTTCACTAAATACACTTAAATATACTAAATAATAACAATCGTACGCATTTCGAATGAAATGTGCCGAAGTATCAAGTAGATGGACTTACGTTGCTAGTAATTGCGTGTGCCTCAAAGACCTGTAGTACACAAGCACTGACGTTGTACTTGCTTATTAGTGTTAATCTCGGCAGCTAGAAGAAACGCAGTGTAAGTGATTATCCAATTCTCTCTGAGTATATAGCCTAGAGTGAACATATTCTAGGCACCTGCTGCTCTGTTGCTAAGTGACAAAGCGCTTGCTGGGACTGAGATATCAAAAAATGGTTTTATAGGGTAAAAATTGCTGAAGATTAACAGGTCGCACAGGATGATCATGGTGAAATTTCACGATAGAGGAAGTGTCAGCAAACTTATGTTTATGCCAGTGGGTTCACTGCGGTATTCGCAGCATAAAATATAAATCCACCGTACGCCAATCTAGGCTCATTAACGCATATGTGTATCCGTTTGCCCACGCATAGATTCCGTTAAAACCTGTTTCATGGGGTTAGAGAACACTATGACTGTGAACCTTTGAACACTGAGTATACATAGACCAAGGTAAAGCGTAAGGGACCAAGTAACCATGTTTAGGCTCCACTTGCTGGTAAAAAACCCCACCCGACAGGTTAACCACCGATTTCGCGGGGTCATTAAGGCACCACAGTCAAAAAGTGAAAACCCTAAGATATGTTATGATCACGATGCTGACGTCCTCTAAAAGCTCGTAGATGGACTCTTGGATTTGGATGAAGAAAGTGTGACCACTAAAGAAGTAGTCCCACTTGACGTTTGCAGCTAAACTTGATTCGCTTTACTAACCGATTTCCTGTGTGCTAAGCCTCTTTTTACAGGTGGTTGGTATGTTATATTATCTCATTATTGTCTACCTGAAATATTTTCTTTTAACTAGCACACGTCGCTCTCTTCCTGTGAACAAGTCTAACCCATGTCATCAATTCAGTGTGGCAACCTTAACAGATGAACTAACTACAAACACCAGTGCATCGTCCCGGATTCCCCATTCTCCTTTCAGAGCAAAATGTGTCAAGCCCCCCAAGCGAGTACAGAGACGATCTAGCGCCAAACAAGCCCCAATTCAGCGCGCTACAGCTGGGCAGCTTCTCAGTCGGGAGACTGGGTTTCCTCCACATACCAGAACGTATCCATCCTCATCTATTTGTAGCGGTCGTATCTCGGGATTTCCGGTTTCTGTTGTCCCCGCCACAAGGTTTCACGCGCAACCCACCGTGTCTCATCTGGATGGTTTGCGTCTACATTTGACATCAGATCCCAATTCGGGCAGACCACCATCCTTAGGAAGTCGAACATCCTCCGTTCGTCCTCCACCGTTAGCTCATCCTGAACACTGCCCTCATACATCTTCCTCCTCCTTCTTAAGAGCATCTGGAGCTCGGAGTTGGAATTCACCCGTGGTCTCGCTTCCCCACTTAAAAGATGGCGTACAGTTCCCAGATCCACGTGTTCTGCAACATCTGATGGGTATTGATGAAGCGACTGCAGAACGTTTGTTGGCTAACACCCGCTTCAACAATTTATACTCCCTCACTTTGGCCACATTGGCTGGCAACGGTGCGGGCGGGAGCGACGCACGGAAGCATCTGTTGAATAATGGTTCCACGAACATTCTGAAATAGGGGGTATTCGTAGCAACGGTACAATCCCCTCGGCAAACACGTATGTGTCCTCGACGTCCAGCCCATTAGCCACCAAGATTTCCACCTCGACCTCTGTGCCGAATCGTATCACGAGGAGTTCTGCATCAGATGATCACTGTCATGAAACACCTGTAGTAACATTCTCGCAATTCCACTGTCGCAAACGGTCACTGGACGACCACAACTATGACAGACCAAGAGGCCTGCTCAAAGTCAGTCATGACAACATTTCTTGGAAATGAACCACCTGTTTTGGAACTTGGTCATTTACTGACATCCCACCTCCGTCGCCACTGTTATAGATTGAGGTGAACGCCTCTGTTCTGTTATGATTGCGTAAATGCCTGATAAGATTGTCGCTGGCGCGGGTGGAGCACGCCTACGATAACGGCTTGTAACACTGGCCAATCGAACAGAGTTGCACTGACTTGATGACGTTAGCTTAGCCGGTGAGACGGGAATTGAGCGAACGTGAGAACGATTCTAGCCGCACGTGTTCGGGTAGACGCTGAGCCCTCGGAACGGGCGCACACGAGACGGGTTACGATAGACGCGCGCTAATGACTTAGACGCGAAGGCTGGCCAGCTAACGACTCACACGCAAGGGAGTGACCCGACCGACTCCCAAGTAAGGCGAAGAGGAAGAAAGACAGGCGGTCCTCTGTAGGCTCTTTTACGAGCAACAAAGGGCGAATCACAGCCAAGGCTATGGGGCATTAATTAAGGGAAAATTTCTATCATGATGAGGTGGTAGTATGTAAAAGGCCATTGTCAAACTTCAACTCCAGAATTTAACTTACAGTATTCCTCACCGTGTTTCCTCTCATTATGCCATTAATGGCACCTCTGCAATGTCCAGAAGTACGCTTGGATGTCACCACTAGTACATCAAAGGATCTGGTTTATCACTGAGGCAGTTGACTTCTTAGATTCGTTAAAATGAAGTGGTCTAAATCTGCTTAGTATGAAAAATGTCATCAACCCCTTATTTTACGATGAGCGAACTAACTTAAAATACCACTCCTTACATAACACCCGCTAACGTAAACACAGAGAATGACTAACGCGTGTCCGATTTGTTTTTGTTCAGAACGATTCGTTTGATGATAATTAATTTCCGTTAGACATGGCTCATGAAACAGATTGAACCACATGTTTGTCTTAACCCCACCGAATACCCCTCTGCATTAAACCTAAAGAGGCAAGGTATATTCTCGAGGACCATTTGGATTGTTTGAGCTGAGGATCAAAGATGCTATAGGCGTAAGTAAGGCCTTCAGATGTAAACTGGAATTAGCAAGAATAGGGCAGGACTTGTCTAACTGAATTTCGTTATTGCACTGAATGCTACATCAGACGGTCTCCTGTACGCATTCTTTGCTCGGCAATGAGGTATGACGGAAGATTTACCAAGCTATTGTCAAGGGAGGTAGTAAAGTTTGGACACAGAAGCCGAACCTAATGGACACTTATGGCCAATAGGTTTAAAATGTTGTCCACTTAGTCTACTGTACTCCGACCAATCTTTTTAAGTCGCTATGGGTTTTTATGGCACTGTCTAACAAATAACCTTGCAACAGAGTGAGTGCAACTTTGGGAAAGCATCGCCGGTCAACAACACTTACTGATACATTCCCGATTACTCATGAGTAGTAAAGTTAAATGTCCATTTGCTTACACGCGTGTGGCTCGAAGTAGACATGAAAGTCCATAAAATTTAAGGGGGAAAATTCACGAAAAGTGCTAATAAGTTAGTTTGCCAAAATATCAAAATAATGCGTTGCTCATTAAAGTTCATGCGCTCATCAATCCACTCTCTCCCTGAGGGGTTACATGCACGCACTACCAGTGACGCGCTCATGGGTCACGGGACATTAGACCATGGGATTCACTGATGTAAGTACACGGCTGGAAGTACGCATCAATGAGGAATAGGTATATATCCGAGTATGTTGAGAATTTTGTCTTAACGGAAGACAGATAGCGATGAGATTGTCAGTGCTATAGGTCACCAACAAAACACCTGAATGTAGCTGGTCCGCTGAGGATGAGGTGCTTGAACGTTCTCCCTGAGCACCCATATAACAAAGCTTTTGTCAGAAAGAGTTACCATTGGTTCGGGTTCTGAACCTATCGGTAGCCGGTGTCCCTGTGCCAAATTTCTAGCGCTTGTCCGAGCAACCGCAACCTATCGAGCGAAATACATGTGATCAGTCCAAGATGCACAGTACCCGTGGCACATTTATGCTCCATGTTATTATTGCCTATGGGCGAAACAATATTAAACGGCGCACCTGATCGTCAGCGCTCGGTAGCTCAGTGGTAGAGCATCGCACAGTTAATCCGTGTGTCCGGGGTTCGATTCCCCGTCGAGACAGTTTATTGTGCGAAGTTTAATCGTGACTTCCACTTTCTACGCAATAATATACCGCAAGACGATAAAACGATACTTAGCGATATTAATAATAATAATAATCATGGACATATTTCGCATCAAGTGAAAAGCTATGACAATCTTTGGCACAGAAGATGCACACACCGGCGATGTCATGCTCTTGCAAGAGCACTATCAAGTTATCTACTCATATTTGTCTGCATTGCCGGAAAGAAATTTGCTAAATATGTTCGTCTGATGCTATGGTAGGATGCAAGTTTGCGGTTTGCGGTTTGCGTATGTTTTAGACACTGAGGACTAATTGCATTGCGTGAATCGGTGAGAGTATACCCATTGGAGATTATCTGGGCTTTTACTGAATGGATGTTCAAAATATCTCTCCATAAAAAAACGGCATAATGGTGTCCGGGTAGAGGTAGTTTCCCAACTTACTGCGAAAGGATTGCACAGTTTCGCACGACCTGATGGTGAACGGTAACCGATTGCACAGAGAAGCGTATATGGTGAGACCAAAGGTAGACTGCTATTTGCTCTTGCCTCGTGGTATAATCAGGGTAACGTGTTTGTTACCTAGGTCCCACATGCAATTGTGCTTCACTAAAAAGGTGAATCGATTGCAATGGGTATTGACATAATCAGATTGTGCAGCAGTCTCCGGTTATGTTTTATCCTTCACAGCCAAAGCGGACGGAAATGGATTTGCTGAAATCGCACTCGAGAGTTAAGGATAGACATTTTTCCGAATACTTGCTGTAGTAAATGACCGTTAAAGGATTTCTATCGATGTTCTGTCTGATTTCCTTATATTGCCTCAAATTTTGCTGCGAAACTGCAGGATGGGACGATTTACGATTTTAAACAGCTCAACAGTAACTACTATTATATGCATGTTATTAGAGATGTTAGAGAAGGATTTTCTGGCTCCTGTTATCCTGTGCACAATCTGTTCTAACAATATAACGGTACAAGGTCATGGGTAGAACGTTTTACACAGATGCGCTCGCTGTTACGTGTAATAGATACTTCGGGTGTTAAGCGATCACGACATATGCTACTTGACAGTTGTGCTTAAAACATCATCATCCACTTGTCATACAAAGTCTCAAGCGAATGAATATATTCTTCAGTGAGTGGTAGTACATTCGGAAGCTGAACTCGTCGGTACTTGTGGACAAATGTTATATCACCAAAAAATAAATATGCCACACTATGTTACCCAAACAGCTAACTGACATAAGTAAGGGAAATTAATGTAACACTAGTAATTTGACACGGGGAAGAGCAATAGTCGTGTAAGGGGACTATTTTAGCGGAACCGTTCATGTATGAGCAGAGGCTACCAAGTAATGTGTTATGGACGTCAAGTAATTCTATCGGAATCGGTAACCGATTGTGCGCCACGCGATCGAACCTTTACTCCATGTCCAAGCATAGAATTAATATGGCATATTTTGAGTCCATGGAGTTTGGTATGTAGTTTAGGTAATGCAGCTACCAGTATATGTATGATCGTTAGTCAAGAAAAGCATTTTGGGACTTGTCTAACAGCTCGAGTTATTTGATGAAATTCCTCACACCTGTTTACCAAGTTTACGAATAATCCGGCTAGAATAGGTGTGTTATGACTTGACCTGTAATTGTTAATCTCCTGTATGGCGCAACGCTTGTGGCGGGGGATGATAAATGATATTTTCCATTGATCTGCAAATTACCTGGATCACAGTGAAACGGCAAACCTATGCAAAAGGAACTATGAAATATCAGGCCCTCGCAGTTTCATGGCGGATGGGAGATGCACGGCTGAATAGAATGTGTTGCTTGGCGGATATTGCGGAGTGCAATAGCAATTTAGATAAAGGCTTAGGGGAATCATAGCGTTAGTGTTAAGGTTCATGTGGGTGGAGAAGAACGAGCTAAATGCTGCACAGATGGCGACTGTATGTCGTCCACCAATTCAGTGATCAATGAGAAACCTTTGTAGGTTCTTCGACGGAGAACTCTGACCAGCAATTTTGCTTTACATGTCATTCGTAGTGTTTCTTAATCTTCATGTGTTCTCCGTAAGTGCTTGATTTTAGAGATAAGTCTATGCATCTGTGGAGCCATTGTAAATCCCCGTATCCTTTTTCAGCGAGCAATCGGTCTGCTGGATTTCTGACTGATCGAACGTTCAGCTGCATCATTTTAAATGTCAATGAGTCGTTTTCCTTGCGCAGTAACAAGGGTTATGGCTTGCTGAAACTAATTATTAAAGTGTTCCGCGGTTGTGCATGCATTATTAGAGAGATAGAAGGCATCCCTATCGCAGGCGCAGATCATTTGATGAAAGGGTTCCCAGTTACTACTGTGGCTGGCACTATAAGAAGGAACTACTTGTTTGGTAACCATTTTAACTGCGAAGCTTAAGAGTATCAATTTGCCGTCGTTACCATATATGTTATCTGCAACGTCTCTCTGTACGTTGGCCGTAACCAATGAAAACATCACTTCTAATTTGTTCATCAACCTAGTTGTTATAGTAACCCACCGTGTCCAACCAACTCTGATGGAATAAATGAAGAATATGTGTATAGACAAGAAGGTC